GCGTGTGTGACTGCGGGAGAAGCACAGCCTCAGCCCACCCGGCAGAGCTAAGGCAAAGGGCCCGAGGGACCTCGGACTCGCTCCTGGGGAGGCCGGCATCACGGCCGCGGAAAGGTGCGGGGGTCTGGGGGTGGGGGAGCGCCAGACTGAAACTGGCACCTGTCTCTCCGCACGTTCAGCGAACCAACTTTGGTTCCTTCAGAATTTGAATGGGCTGAGTCGGGTGCTTGTTTTAAGTAGAAACCTATGAACTTTGGGCCCGTTGACTTGCAGATTATACCCTTTGATAAAAGGTTTTCAGTAAAGTGCCTGGAGCAGAAAAAAAGTCATATACCTGTCTAAAACCCATGTTGAGATTCTTAGGTATTTGGAAAACAACGTTCGAAAGTATTTTAACTTGGGGTTCTTCTTGGGAAAAGGTCATTTCAAAGGAATGTTTGTTTTGGTCTTTGGTTCCCTTGCCCTGGTTTTTTGCCTGGAGCCCTGGAGTGGGAATTCGCCAGCTATGAGAAACACGAGACAAAAGTTCATGGGTTGCCAGTGGCAGAGAAAGATGGGGGGGGGGGGCGGGAGGCAGATCTTAACCAGCATCTAGGAAGGTTGTGAGAGGGGAGGGATAAGAATTTATGGAGGAGGGGCTGGGAGACAGGGCAGCCCTCCGTGTCACGATTGATAATCATCCTTGTTCAGCCTCACTCAGCGGGGGCTGTCCTATGACTGCCAGGCCCAAAAGCCCACACTGGGAGGCTGGCTTCACCCTAGAGATTCTTAGGTCAGGCACCTAGGTCTTGTGCCTGGTCCTAGAGCTGAAAAAGATATTAGCAGACTAGCTTTCCATGATTTCCTTGTTTACATTTATTTAGAACAGCGGTTCTCAAACTTTAGCCATCCCAGAAGTTAAAACAGAACATTTAAAAATATTTATTAACTTAAGAAATAATACATTCATTAGATGTTAGTCAACTTATTTTTTTGAAAAATAACTATTTCTCCCCAAATTTGAGGACCAAGAGTGACATTATTTTACATTTTTGCAAATCTCTTTCAAGTCTGTCTTAACAGATGGCAGTTGGATTCTCATAGCTACTTCTGCATTCATGGAGCCTCTGGAAAACTCCACTGTACACTCATGAGAGAAGAGAATGGGAAGGCTTTTTGGCTTAGTATTATTATGAAAATAGTTTTGAGTAAATGAACCACCCCTCTCAAAGGGTCTCCCTGGGCCACACTTTGAGAACCGCTGATTTAGAATCATACTTTTCTTACTATAAAAGAAGTTCATGTACCTTGTAGAAAAACTTTAAACATTCAGAAAACTGTAAGAAAATGAAGACAGCCCATCACGTTACAATCCAGTGTATCTGTATTTCAGTAATAAAGTGTAGTGACTGGCTGGTATTTGAGTGGCTTGGCTTCTAGGCAGGTTGGGTAGATATAAGCGGCCTTCAGGTTTTGAATGGGGACAAGGAGGTTCTATTATCCCACAAAGCTGACGCCGGTTCCTGGTTGCAGGCGGAGCTGACCTGGAAACCTCTCCTTGGCCACTGTCCTTTCTAAGGAGCTCACTTTCCCGAGCCCACCCACACAGAACTGGCAGGGGAGCCTCTTAGGAGTGGAGGCATGGCCATCTTCAGGCAGCTGTCCCTGGGCACCAAGGCCGCCCTGGCTGCTGGCACTATCTTCGTGTCCATGATCATCTCCCGTTCCTACCTGGCCCAGAGCCTTGAGCTCAGGGCCTGGCGGTGGCTGTTCCGCCTGCAGCTTGCCCTCTTTGCCAACTCTCTCATGCTCCTCGGCTCCCTCTACATCTGGCGGAGCACGGTCGGCAACCTCAGCCACTCCCCAGCTGCGGAGTCGGCCTGTTTCCAGCTTTGGAAGATGGCCGTGGTGGCCTTCCTGGCCCTGGCCCATTCCAGCTTCTTCACCATGCTCTTTTTGGTGGCAGAGGAGCCCTATCTCTTTTCCCTGGCTGCTTACTCCTGCCTCGGTGCATACATCATCATGGTCTTCTTCCTCTGTACCCTCAGCGGCATGGAGCAGGCCTACCAGCTCTTGGCCTGGCGCGCCGGCAGGGCCGTGGGCAGCCTTGACAAGACCAGGAAGCTGGCGCTCAGGCCGGCGCTGGCAGTGGTGGTGACCGCCGTGCTCAGCGTGATCGGGCTGCTGAACGCTGCCCAGCCCCCGGCTGTGAAAACTGTGGAGGTGCCAACCCATCAGTTACCCGCCTCTATGGACAACCTCAAGATCGTGCTGCTCTCAGACATCCACTTGGGCCCCACCGTGGGCAGGACCAAGATGGAAATGTTCGTGAGGATGGTGAACAGGCTGGGGCCGGATGTCACGGTGATTGTGGGCGACCTCTGCGATTCTGAAGCCTCCATCCTCCGCACAGCTGTGGCTCCCCTGGGCCAGCTGCGTTCACGCCTCGGCACCTACTTCGTCACAGGGAATCACGAGTACTACACGTCGGATGTCAGCAACTGGTTTGCACTGCTAGAGTCACTGAACGTCAGGCCCCTGCACAATGAGAATGTGAAGATTTCTGCCACCCGGGCCAAGCCTGGCGGGGTTGAGGGTGACGATTGGATCTGCTTGGCGGGGGTGGACGACATCGAAGCAGACATCCTGCACTATTCTGGCCACGGCATGGATCTCGAGAAGGCCCTAGGGGGCTGCAGCCCCGACCACACCACCATCTTGCTGGCTCACCAGCCCCTGGCTGCCAAGAGAGCCCTCCAGGCTCGGCCGGACATTAACTTGATCCTCTCTGGGCATACGCACGCTGGGCAGATCTTCCCCTTGAATGTGGCAGCCTACCTCCTGAACCCTTTCTTTGCTGGTCTCTACCAAGTGGCCCAGACTACGTTTGTATATGTCAGCCCTGGCACCGCCTACTACGGGATACCCATGCGGCTGGGCAGCAGGGCGGAGATTACAGAGCTCATCCTGCGGCGGGCTCCCTGAACCCACCCCTGCCCCGTGTGCCTCCTCTTTGCCCTGGCCCTCCGTCTCCATCCCCCTGCAGGGCAGGCTCCCTGCTGCCCCTCCTCCAGCCTCTCCTGCCAACACACGCTTGTCACAAGCCTGGCAAGTCCAGGCAGGTTAACTCTGCAGATGGTCATCTCTGTCTTACAGGCATTTGTCAGGCCACTCAAGCCCCTTGTGTAAGAACAGGTATCTGTTTTCCAGATGACGTTGGAGTATGCCGTCCTCCTCTGCAGAGCTCATGGAGGGGATGAACTCAAACCAGGGGGGTTGCTGGAGAGGGATGCCTCGGGAAAGTGGAGTAGGAAAGGGACTTTTGGTGTTTTAAAATCCTCTTTAGGGCTTAAGCAGTTTCCAGAATCATTGATCCAGAGCTTTCTGGGGAAGGGGCAGTGTTGCTAGGGCGTCTGGGAGAACACGGGAGATGGCTGCTGGAGAAGAAGGTTTTCTTTTCTCCCTTGGTTCTGTCAGAGTCACCTGTACTGAGAGCATCAGCGAGACTGGCTGGAATACGGGGCTCATCCTGTTCTGGGCCTTGAGTGAGGCTGGGGTTGGGGGTGAGGGGACGGATGCTAGCTCTGGTAGGTGACGGCCCTAGTGCTGCTGCCTAGGGATTCAGAGGGTGTACGACACCTGGCTGGGGGGATTAGGGACAGCTGCTCCCCACCACTGAGAGATGAGAAAACTGAGGCCAAGAGAGATAGGGCCTTGGCAGCACAACCAGGGATGTAGGAGACTCCTGTAGAAGCCAGGTCTTCTACCTCCCAGTGTAAGTGTTCTCTCCACTGCCTGATAGGTAGCTGTATCTGTTCTAGATTCAGACGCAGGTAACAGTGTAAAGAGAACAAACAAGGGCCGGAAGCCTGATGTCCTTTGGAACGGTCTGCTTGAGGCTGATTTCCATTCACCATAATGATGCGGGCTGGGCCTGCAAGAGGGTGGGCTGGTTTCAAAGGATGACTTACACTGGGGGAACCGTCCGGAAACCATAGCACCCACCCTCTACGCCAGGGTGGGTCTGATTTTTTTTCCCTGGAAGCGGAGGTTCCCGACCTACCAGTGGGGGAGGTGGTAGCTTGCCTGGGGAGTGGCAGGGCTCTGAGCTCTGGCAGGGCCCCAGTTCCCTCCTGGCTGTGGGGTGCTGGGCTGTCCTTCCTGCTTGGTGGCTTCCACCCCTGCCCTCACCCCCACCCCCTGGGCCTGGCCCCATCATTCCCTGTCCTAGGGCTCTGACCACCGAACCATACGGCCATCTCTGCACTGGACCCATAGAAAAAGAGGCAGGGGTTACCATGTCTGGTGTGGTCCCACCCCTGTTGGCTGGAGGCAGGGGACCCTTTGACCCTAGGATAGCAATAAGGCCTGTCAGAAATGGCCTCCCTGAAAATCTTTTTCTGGCAGGGAACTCTGACGCGGGTGGGGTGGGGAGCTCACCCTCCGGCTCGCTTGTCAGGCAGCATCGGGCAAACTTGACCTTCCTGGGCCTTGGCTTCCCTTACTCTGAAATGGGGATGATTATCTACCTCAAGAGTGTTTCGTGGGGAGAGTGTTAAGTCATGGCACAGAGTTGCTGGGGGTACTTTATGTTCATTTTTAAGCATCACCTGAGGCACACTGAGGAACTGTGTTGGTCTCAGTGCCCAGAGATTCTGTAGAGCAGCCAGTCCCGGGAACGTGAGTGGGTACCACGCCGCCTGCCAGGGGGCCGGTGATCTGTCAAAAGCAGCGACTGCAGGGGCATGGATGGCTTTCCTCTGCCTGTGCTCCCATCTCCTTGTGCATGCTCTGTCTGGCCAGAGTGAGTCTCTTCCTTTTCCTCCTGGTCCTCTTGGTGTTTACGGGAACCCTGGGGGTCCTGGAGGCCACCTTTCTCATGTCTCAGCAGCCAAAGTATTGACCTTCCAGTCAAGTTTCCAGTGTGTCTTTGAGTTGAGATTTCAGTGATTACATCACTATTTACACTGCCCCCCCACCCCATGTTTAATCATCCTCACAGTGGAGAATGAGCTGGGGGAAAAACAGCTTCAGAACTGAGGAAGCACCACTGGGGAGCCTTTCCTGAACACATTCTGCAGGTGGTGGGCCTACCGGCGGGGAAGGGCTTTCTTTGCCCAGGGCAGCGCCCCTGCCTGCTCTGCTCAAGCTCCCTGGCACCCTTCTCCATGGCACCACTCAAGCTCCCCGCCTCTCCCGGCCTCAAGAAGGTCGTCACTCTTCCAGACCCACTCCCTTTCTCATGCCCTGACTCCCTTTCCGATCACCGACTTTCCAGCTCTCTCATTTGGATCCCAGCAGACTGAAAGTTGTGCTGTTTGTTTTCCACCCCTCGGTGCAGCGGGTCCCGGGTGACTCGCCTTCTCACCAGGTTATTACACTGTTGTCTTGATTTGAGATCTTTCTCATCAGTGCCCTGAGCTTGATAGAGTTACTTCCATCAGTCCTGCTTTCATCTGGCATCTGTCTTGTGTACCAGTTGTCCTTGCTCCGAAGTCCCGGCTTGACTGATTCCTCTCTATAGATAGAAATGAAACAGGTCCGTCTGTGTGCCCAAGGAACAGTCAGCAGCACCTTTTTGTACTTGGTTTGTGTTCCATGATGTGGTGGATGTTTCCCCAGCAGAAATTTCTCCATTTGTGTCCAGATATGGTCCTGGGGGGCAGGCGGCTCTCCACAGCACACTTGGTGCCTCTGTTCTCTGTTCTTCAGTCGCTTACCTTGGACAAGTTTATTTATTGCAAGGGGTTGGGAGGAGGTCGTGAGAAACATTTACTTGAAGCCTGAAAATTCTTTCAATTTCATTCTAATTTCTTTTTCAAAATCTGTTAAATGAAAGTTCATAAAATGAAACGTGAGTCTTTTTAAAAATTAACAATCGTGTGTATTATGATACTATTGTTATAAAATCTCAATGCATTAATCCTACTGCCATCCATTCCAAACATGCATTCACTCATCCATCCTTTTCCCCCCTTATTTTGCTTTCTCTTTTAAAGCTTTTTATTGTGAAAATTTGAAAATATTCCCAAAGTAGAGAGACTAGCACCTGAATCCCCATATATTCATCATCCAGCTTCAACAACTGACTCTTCTACTGTTATTTCTCATCTATGCTTGCCCTTTCTTTTTTCTTTCTTGTCTGGAGTATATTAACAAAAATCTTAGAAAATGTAACTTTACCCCAAAGTACTTCAGTATAAATGCTTATTTAAAAAGCATCTCCATAATGCTGTTACAGCCAAGGAAATTCAGAATAATTCTTTAATATCATCTAATACCTAGTTAGGAGACTTGGGGCTAGAAGCCAGGTCTTCTGTCTTTCAATAAAAGTGTTTTTCCCACTCTCTGGGGGTTGAGTAGCTACATCTGTTATAGGTAAGTACAAGATTCAACTGCAGTTAACTGTGTAAAGAGTTTTCAGTTCTTCCTGATTATCTCAACTGTCTGTGTATGTATGTGTGGTAAAAAAAAAAACACATAGCCTAAAATTTATCATCTTAGTGGTTTTTAAGTGTACAGCTCAGTAGTGTCAAGTATATTGACATTGTTGTAAAACAGATCTCCAGAGCTTTTTTCATCTTGCCAATCTGAAACTGTATCTGTTAAACAACTCCTCCCCTTCCTCCCCTGCCCCAGCCCCTGGTAACCAGCACTTTGCATTCTGTTCCTATGAATTTGACTGCTCTGGGTACCTCATGCAAGTGGAATTATGCGTTATCGTCTTTTGTGACTGGATTAGTTCATTTGGCATAACATCCTCAGTGTTCATCCATGTGACAAGACTTCCTTCCTTTTAAAGGCCAAGTAATATTCCATTGTATGTACAGACCACATTTTGTTATTCTTTCATCCATCAGAGGACATTTGGGTTGTTTCTACCTCTTGCCCATTGTGAATAGTGCTGCTGTGTACACGGGTGTGCAAATACCTCCCTGAGACCCTTTCTGTTCTTTTGAGTATATACCCAGAAGTGGGATTGCTGGATGATACAGTAGTTCTATTTTTCTTTCTTTCTTTCTTTTTTTTTTTTTTGAGGAACCCCTACACTGTTTTCCATAGTAGTTGAACAACTTAACAGTCCCACCAGCAGTACCCAAGTGTTCCAGTTTCTCTACATCCTCACTGAAACTTACCTTCTGGTTTTTTTTATTTGTTTGTTTTTGATCGTGATGTGAGGTAATAACTTATTGTGATGTTGATTTGCATTTCTCTGATAATCAGTGATGGTGGGCATCTTTTCATATACTTGTTGGCCATTTGGATATTATCTTTGGAAAAAATGTGTATTCAAGTCTTTTGCCCTTTTTAAAATCAGGTTATTTGATTTTATTGTTGAATTGTAGAGGGTCTTTATATATTCTGAATAGTAACTCCTGACCAGATATTTGATTTGCAGATATTATATCCCATTCCATAGGTTGACTTTTGACCCTTGTGTCCCTTGATGCACAAAAGTTTTTAAGTTTGGTGTCCCATTTCTCCATTTTCTTGCTTTTGTTGCTTGTGCTTTTGGTGTCATATCCAAGAAGTCACTGCCGAGCCCAATATCATAAAGCTTTCCCCCTATGTTTTCTTCTAGCAGTTTTTAAATTTGGGGTTTTATGGATAGGCCTTTGATCCATTCTGAGTTAAGTTTTGTATATGGTGTGAAGTAAGGGTCCACATTCGTCCTTCCGCATGTGGACGCCCGATTTCCCTGCACCATTTGTTGAAGACACTGTCCTTTCCCTGTTGAGTGGTCTTGGCATCCTTGCTGAAGACCATTTAAATGTGCACGTGACGGTTTATTTCAGGCCTGCCTTTTCTTTCCCACTGGTCTATTTGTCTGTCTTCATATCAGTATCAGTATATATCGCTTTGATTACTGTAGTTTTGTTATATCTTTTGAAATCAGGAAGCGTGAGTCTTCCAGCTTTGTTCTTCTTTTCCAAAATTGTTTTGGCTATTTGGGCTCCTTGAAATTCCATATGAATTTTAAGATGAATTGGTCTATTTCTGAAAAAAAAATGCTATTGGGGTTTTGATAGAGATTACAGTGACTGTAGACCACATTGGGGAGTATGGACGTCTTAACAATACTAAGTCTTCAATCCACGAACACGGGATGTCTTTCCATTTATTTGAGTCTTAAATCTCTTTCAGCAGCGTCTTGTAGTTTTCAGTATATGAGTCTTCCACCTCCTTGGTTAAAGCTTAGTCCCAAGTATTTTATTCTTTTTGATGCTATTATAATTGGAATTGTTTTCTTAATTTCTTTTTTGGACTGTTCATTGTCAGTGCATAGAGATGCCACTGATTTTTGTATGTTGATTTTGTATCCTGCAAGTTTGCTGAATTTATCAGTTCTAACATTTTTTTTGTATATGAAATCTTTAGGTGTTCTGTGTATAAATAAGATCATGTCATCTGTGAAGAGAGATAATTTTACTTCTTCCTTTCCAGTTGAATGCCTTTTATTTCTTTTTCTTGCTTTGTTGCTCTGGCGAGGACTTCCAATAGTATCTTGAATGAAAGTGGCAAGAGCAGGCATCCTTGCCTTGTTCCCGATCTTAGAAGAAAAGCTGTTAGTCTGTCACCTTCGAGTATGATGTTAACTGTGAGCTTTCATATGTGGCCTTTATTACGTGGAGGTACTTTCCTTCTCTTCCTAATTTGTTGAGTGTTTAATCATGAAAAGGTGTTGAATCCTTTCTATTTCTGCCTCAATTGAAATAATCATGTGGTTTTTGTCCTTCACTTTGTTAATATGGTATATTCTGTTGCTTGATTTTCACATGGTGAATCATTCTGTCATTCAGAATCTCACTTGGTCATGGTGTGTAATCTGGTCCTTGGTTTTCTTTGAAATTTTCAATTACTGATTCAATCTTCTTCCTATTTATTGGTCTGTTCAGATTTTCTGTTTCTTCATGATTCAGTCTTGGTAGGTTGTATGTTTCTAGGAATTTATCTGTTTATTCTAGATTACCAGTTTGTTGGCACACAATTGTTCACAGTAGTCTCTTATAATCCTTTTTTTTTTCTGTGACATCAGTTGTAATAGTGCCTCTTTTATTTCTGATTTTAGTCATTTGAGTCCTCTCTTTTTTCTTAGTTAATGTAGCTAAAATTTTGTCAATTTTGTTGATCTTTTCAAAAAACCAACTCTTACTTTCATTGATTTTTTTCTTTTTTCTCCCTCATTCTCTCTTTCATTTACCTCTGCTCTAATTTTCATTATTTCCTAGCTAGCTTTAGGTTTAGTTTTTCAATTTCTTGAGGAATTATGTCACTTAATAGTTCTTTTACTTGAATCAGGATCTAATAACAAGGTTCGTATATTGTATTTGATATATTTCTTTAATCTTTCTAAGTCTGTAAAATACCCTCCCCTCTTATTTTATGTCATTTGCTTGTTCAACTTAACTGGATATTATATCTTGGTACTTTGGATTTGTGGTGGTGTTTAACATGTACTGTCCTCGTATTTTCTGCAAACTGGTAGATGCAGACGTCTGTTAAAGTTAGAACTAGAAGCTGGATAGATTCATGTTCAACTTTTCCCCTTTTATGGTAGGAAGACTTCATTGCTTTCAGTGATGTTAAGATTGACCCGTGGGTCCAGGTGTTGTCAGCTTGGCCCCTCTGCTAGAAAGTTTCACGTCA